GCTGTTGCCTGTTCGGGGTGGTGGGGGGCCAGAGAGCAGCCGGCTCCATTGCGGCTGTTTCTGTCAAACAGCCCCGTTATTACATGTTAAGGGAAGGGGGGGGGAAAAAAAAAAAAAAAGGAAAAGAAAAAGAAACAACACTGGAATTGTAAAATCCAAAGGCAAAAGCTAGTTTTGTTCCGCTGGGTCAGGGGTTGGGGTTGTTTGTCCCTGTGGGAGCGCGTGTCTCCATCCCAGGGCACGGGGAGGTCATTTTGGGGCTCTTGGAGGGAGCTCCCAGCAGTGCCAGCGTGGTCCGGCGCTTGCAAACACTGCTTTGTCCCTTTTTCTTTCCCTCCCCTTTTCTTCTTCCTTTCCCTCCCTCGCCTTGGGACACAAGCCCAGCACATCCTCCCTCTCCGGGCAGCGCTGCCCCACGGGCAGGAGGCATTTCAAACAAGAGGCTCTGCAGTTATTCCTTGGAGTTTGCCCAAATCTCCATCTCGTGGAGGTTTTTCCCAGTGAGTCCCCGGCCCTGGGAGGCCACGGGGACCCTGTGGTCCCCCGAGTTGGAGGGTTTCTCAGCCAGCTCCACAGAAGGGAGATGGGGGATGTTCCTTGCTGGATTTCGAGAGTCTCTGGAGCAATTGCTTCCTGTGCAAATATTCTCAGGGCGTGTCTTTCCTGTCTAATTAACTGAGCCAGAGCCAGATCCTGTCTCCTTTGCTGCAGAATCAATCCAATCCAGCCCCTTTTTCCAGTAATGGCAGTTGAATTCCAGGGGTGGTGGAAAACCTTGTGCTGTGCTGATGAGTCCCATTCCCCACACCCAGGAAGGGGACAAACCCCCGAGCAGTGGGAACAGAACAGCATGGTGTTTTGGGGTTCTGTGTTTTGTTTTTCCTTGAAAATAACTAAATAATAATTCCCTAGGGAAAGCTGGGGGAAGCACCCTCCCCTCCATCCTCCAGTCCTGGGGTGCTCACAGGGCTTTGCTGCTGCCTGTTGCCCATGACATGGATCTGTTCCTGGTTTTAAGGTGTTGTAGATCAATGTGAAATATTAATCGTTTTAAATAAGCACAAGTGTAAAACCAGCCCTGGGAGGCTTCCGTCACTGGCTGGTCATAGGATCATAGAGTCACCAAAGTTGGAAAAGACCTTCAAGATCATGAAGTCCAACCATCTGCCCTGCAACTCCTAACCACTAAACCATCTCCTGAAGCACCACGTCTGCCTGTTTTTTGAACACCTCCAGGGATGGTGCCTCCACCACCTCCCTGGGCAGCCTGTTCCAGTGCCTCACCACTCTTTCTATGAAGAAATTTTTCCTAATATCCAATCTGGTCTCTGGCTTTGTCACCCTTGAGGTTTCCCAGGAAGCATCCTTGTCTTCTCCTTTAAATAATAAGATGGAAATGGAAATTCAGCTCATCCTTGTTGCTGTACAGCACCAAGCCAAGGCCCTGAGCACTCATCACCTTGCCATGACCTTGGAAAGGCTGGGTGTTTGGAGAGAGGGGGGTGGCCCCTCGTGCCCCACCACGCTGGGCTCCTGCTCCATCACTTTGCTTTTGGCAGCTTTTATCTTAATTTCCCCCTCCCCCCCCGCTGGACTCCAGCAGGGCCTCCCAGCCTAATCCTGTTCTGTGCCCAGCATCAAAGGGAGCAGGAGGCTTTGAAGAGCCCTAATCTCATTTAGTGCTTGGGTGGCTGCTGCCAGCACTGGGCGCAGGGCTGGGAGGGTCAGGGACTGCCCAGCCTGGGCATCCCATCCCCCAAGGATGTGCCAGTCCCATGGGAGCTTCAGCCAGATGAGGTGGGGCTTTCCGTGCTGCTGGGTTGGTTTTGGCATCACTCCTTCCTCCCTTGAGCGCTGGAAAAATGATGTTGGAAAGGAGGGATTTGGAGATTATTTGATCCAGAGCTCTCCTGGGAGTGGGTCACAGCCTGGCTGCAGGGCACCAGGGGCTTGGGGCACCCGGAGCTCTGTGGCATGAGCTGCTGGGGCCAGAGGGTGTCAGGGTATCTAGAATGCCTGTGGATGTGTGCAGGGAAGCCCTGGGTAGGCTCTTAGGTGTGCAGCCTGGGTGGATTCTCTGGTGTGTAGTATGAAGGCAATGCTCAGCAGTCCTTCCAGCTTCCCATGGAGGCACTAAGGGCTTTCTTCTCCACCACCCCATCTATTCTCATGTAACTTGGAGGCTTAGGTATCTCTAGGGCTTCTCCACCTTCACAAATTGAAGCCAGAGATGAAAAAAAAAACAGGTTTTAGGGTAGCCCTGGGGGATTTTGGGGCAGTTCATCAGCTGAGCCCCAGCCCCATGTGCCTTTAAAACAGCCAAGTCCTAAACTCCCTGAAAACTGTGACTTGCAACGGAAATGTCCCGAGCTGTTTCTGTTGACCAGATGTTTTTACAGGAAGGGCAAGGGAAATGGGATTTGCATTTGCTCTGGTTTCTTTATAGCATTTTAATGAAATCCAGTGCATCCCATAAATTGATGGCATGCCGAGACGAGCTGGGAAGAGCCCTTCCGGTGGGAACGCACGGAGCCCATGTCACGGCTCCGGCGGCTGCAGCCCTGGCCATGGGAGGAGCAGTATTTTTATCTCTGCTCAGCGTGAGACTGTGAGACTGCTTTGACTTCCTTTTTTCTTTTCTTTTTTTTTTTTTTTCTCCCCTTCTATCTTTCTTTTTCCCCTTCCTTTCACCTGAAGCTGGTTTCTGAGAACTGCCACCTCCTCAGCAAGCAGGTCCCGTGCTGCTGGGCTCTGATTTTCAGCCCGAGGCTCTGCACAGCAGCCAGCCAGGCTCAGGGTTGGGAACATAGAATCATAGAATGTTTTAGGTTGGAAGGGACATTAAAGATCATCCAGTCCCACGCCCTGCATGGGCAGGGACACCTCCCACCAGCCCAGGTTGCTCCAAGACCCATCCAACCTGCCTTTGGACGTTTCCAGGGATGGGGCAGACACAGCTTCCCTGGGTAACCTGGGCCAGGCTCTCACCACCCTCACACTGAAGAATTTCTTCCTCATGTCTAACTGAAATCTCCCCTCTTCCAGTTTTAATCCAGTCCCTTGGGTCCTCTCACTT